GTTCGGGCTTAAGAGACATTCGGGAAGAATCCAGGAGGACCCTCAGGTTCCAGGGACCGGTGGGTGAAACACCGCATGGAGAATATGGAAGGTTCTTTTCCTTTGTCCAATAATCCGATATTCCTTCGGAAGAAGGGCAGTGGGCACCCTATTTCCCAACCTTCCAGGTGGCAATCACCCTGCCCTACACCCCCCAGGGGCAGGCCTCACTCAGCAACACAACTTTCAATTATTAACTTCCAAGAACAGTCCAGGACATAAAAACAACCCACACCGAAGAAAAGTAAAGTTGTGCATTCTGCAGAACAGACGACTCCCAGTCAGTCACCTTACCCACAAAGGTCAAGTTGGCCTCAGTTCAGGGCCTGCTGGGAACCCAACGTCCACCTACTTGCTTAGGGTAGAAGATGAAGTTTACAAAAGGCAACAAAATATTACAAACCAGCAAGCAGAAAACATTCCTTACTCGTGTTAAGCAGCAGCTGTGTTTTTTTAAAGCATGCCCTAGAATCATCAGGGAAACTGTTAACAGTGGTGGCTTCCGAGTGAGAGGGCCAGCTCCGCACTCCACTCTCCCATTTGCATCGAGTGCTTCTCTTATTTTTAAAACAGAAAAGTCCTCGCAGGACCTGAGCCTGGCTCAAGCCACTCAAAGTGGAAGCCTCCCTCGTTAAAGTACGAGACAGATTATCTCTGAAACACACTTTAAACGTACTAGCTTCAACAATTTTATTCTTAAAATCACCAATTCTTCCAGAACTCAAGTCCAGGCTTCCAACGGCAAAAGAACTCTGGCCTGCCAATAATAACTATGCAGAGTGACTAAACATTTTTTTCCAACAAAGGAAAAAAAAGTGCTCCCTCCTATCAAAGTGTATAACCAGCCCCGGGCCTGAGCCCGCGCGCGTTTCCGCCTCCCACCTTCCCACCGCCTTTGGAGTTCACGCTGTGTCTTTAATTGCTCGCTTGGAACGCGTCCTCTAAGGCTCCACCAGCAACAGCGCCCGGCGCGCCCCTCCCCCTCCCTCCTCCACCCCGCCGCAGGAGTCACGTGACGGCTGAGAAAAGTAGGGGAAAGGTTACGCGAGCCCCGCCCCCGGCCTGGCGCGCCCCAAGCACTCAGATCCTGTTCCACCCGCTGCGCCCAGAGAGACCTTCCGGAGCTCGCTGGCGTGCGTCTCCCGCGCTACCACCCCGGCGGACGAAACGCTGCTCCCCTTCGGGGAAGGCCAAGTCCTGCGTGGTCAACCTTGGGGACAGTTAAACGCTTAGTGCGACTGATGACATCCCACACCATAAACGCAGCACCGCGCCCCCGCGAGCCTGGAGCGCGTCCGGAAGGGGCTCGCTGCGATGCCCAGGGAAAAATTAACGGTGTTTCTATGAATGGGCACGCGGGGCCAGGGTTACGTAAGCGCAGGCCCTTGCCCCAGGACTCCCAGGAGGCCCAGGCTTGACAGCTCAGTGACCAATGAGCCAGACCAGAGCCAAGGGCGGCAGCGACGCCAGGTTTCTTCCCTTCACCTCCGGTTTAGGCCGCTTGTTTTCAGTACAAACTCGAAAGGTTACTTTGGCCTCTGCATGATGCCAATTTCTGTCACTCTGATACAAAGTAGGTGCACTCCTAAAGATGGGCCCTGTTTTCTGTCTGATTCCAACAGCTGTTTAGATGGAGATCAATGTGCAAGGTCAGGTCTAACCACTCTGCACTGGAAGGAAACCGGTCATTTGCAAAGAGCCCCCGGTGGTACGGAGGCAGAACCATCTCAAACTCGACGTCTAAATGCGGCATTCAATTCCAGCCAGTCATGACGGTCCCAGACACTCCCTCGCCTCCACAACTAAGCACTATCCGCATCAGTGTCCTCATATTTACGCCACACTAACTGCGAGTCTCAAATAATTTGGAAAGGGGTGGGGGTGATGCATGCTGGCATAAATAAAAGACCAGTGAGTTCGGCCACTTTTTATTCATTTGGTTTGTGGTTTAGGAGGAAATAAACATGCTTGACTATCTGGAATGACCAGAAACCGGACTCCTATGCAAGAAAATGGTGTAACAAAATACAAGTTTCAAAAGGTTAAACTGATTTTCATTTTATTCGGTAACTTACCAGTGTCCTGCTAAAATTTGCCCTTGGATATTTTAATAACACACGGAGCATATAGGGTCTGAAAACCTGTCCCGGGTTGGGAATATCAAGTCTGTTCTGTGGTCAACTTGGTTAAATTACTTGGAATGTTTAACGCTCAGTGTTTAAAAAAAAAACAAAAAAGGTAAGCTCAGCCTTCATTTCTGTTCGCTTTGTCTTTAATGAAAGCCAACCACAGATTTACGTTATAAAGACGCTGAGCAAAACGAAAGAAACGGGCTGTGGGCTCAAGGAGCGAGCTGGGGTTAAGGGCTGCCGGGTCAGGCTCGCAGGCCAGGCTCGGGTGGGCTGGTCACGCGAGGCCCTCACTCCCGCCGCGGCGGCTCCGGGGTCCCGCTGACCTTGGCCGGGTTCTTCGTGAGGCACGGGAGGTGGTGGGGGCACTCGCACGCGGGGACCCGGGCCCAGCGCCCTCATCCCATCCACCGCGGGCGCTCGCACCGCTCCCGGGGTACCCTGGCCTGATCTACTCGCGCCAAGGGCGTGTCCCGACGGCTGCACTGCGGGGGAGGCTGCGGGGAGGGGGGCGGCGCCCGTCCGAGGTCCGAGCGTCCCCTGCCGCCTTCAGGGACTGTCTAGAGGACTGTCGTACCTCCAGACCTAATCCGCTCGGGGGGAACGTGCTTGGATGTTGGGGAAGAAAGCCGGCGGCCCAAGTGGCCCCAGGCCGGAGGCGTCCTGCCAAGTCCGCAGAACGAAGCATCCCTCCATCGCCTGCACTTGGATCCGCCTGCTGGTCGACCGACCCCTCGGGCGGACCCCGAGACCCAATACTACTCCTGGGGGATGGGAGCGAGATGGGGCGGGGAAGGGAGCCCGCGGCCCGACTGACCACGGGCTGGAGGCGTCTGGCCAAGTCCGGAGGGTTGAGCATCCCTCCGGCCGCCGCGTGCAGACCGACCCCGGGGAGGCCCCCAGACCCGATCCACTGCGGGGGCTGGGGAGCCCCCGTCCCGCTCGGGTTTCGGGTTCTCTGCTGAGCCTGCTGTCCGAGGGGGATGCCGGGGGTTCCCCCTGCGCGCCCTTGCTCCGGCGGCCCACCCTCCGCCCGGGTCCGGGCCCCGGCCGTCCCCGCGCGCTCCCCGCCCTGGAGTCTGCCGCAGCCCGGAGGGCGGCGCCCGCCAGCCCTGCCCGAGGCGCGCGGCCGGGGATTGGCTGCAGCCGGCGTGGGCGACCACTCGGGATGCCCGGCGGGCCGGGGGGCGGGACCTGGACGGGGCGGGGCATCGGGAGGGGCGGGGCGTCCTGGGGAGCGCGACAGGTGAGGAAACTGAGCCTCCCACGCGTGCTCACCGCCACTGCCTCCGCCCGCCCGGTGCCCAGGGTGAGATTCCAAGCCCTGCGAGCCTCAGTCTCCTCATCCGAAAAACGGGCCTGAGCGCGGTGCCCAGCCCGTGCTCGCCCTTGAGAGGCATTGTCCTGTGTAATCCTGATCCCAAGCCCCCGCGGGAGAAAGGATCACTGAGTTGTCCACGATCACACAGCTAAGAAGATGGATCCAACCGTGGTCCAGGGCTTGACTCCAGGGCTCACGCCCCAAATCGCACCTTATCCCCGTAGCGACAGCTGATGTGACCCGGAGGCAGTGTGGCTCGTGGGGCCAATATGCTAATGGAGACTCTGGGGACTTCTCTGAGCCTCCTGCTCACCGAACTGGGGTAACATAACTTCCCTCGCGGGGGGCTTGGGTAAGATTTCGTAAACTCATTATTCAGGTGCCTAAAGCGTATTAGGCGCCTGGAAAGAAATGGCTGAAGGCCAGGACAGCGTGACCGAGAAACCCTTGTGCCGGTGACCGAGCTCGGGAGAGGGACAGCCGTGGAAACTGCTCACGGGCCGATCCCAGAGGTCTAGCCGAGCGTAGCGGCCGCAGCGGGCTCGGGGAACAGCGTGCGGAGCTGGGGCTCCGCGCTGCCTGCCGCGTGAGCCGCGCCTTCCCTCTCCTGGCCGGCAACGTTGCCCAGGCCGGAACTGGCGACCCTGCATACAGCAGGTGCTCCATAAATGCACCGGGTTTATGAACAAAGACTCGGCTCTCCTAAAGGCCAATCACTCCTTTTGGTTATTAAAAAAAAAAAAAAGTCCACGCTTGCCTCTATCTTTCTGTCTTAATTATTTGGTCGTTACTGCAGAAGGGTTTGGAAGAGAAAATGAAAGTTCTCTCTAGTTCCCGCCCCCACCGCTGCCACTATTACAATTAACTGTTGGTGCGCACTTGTCCGGGCTGTTTTCAATGAAGTCATAGGATAAGTGCTGTTTGTGAATCTCTTTTGTTTTCAATTGGTTTCTGTCGTGGACGGAGTTCCCTGCCGAGGCTCAGAGATGACCGCGTCTTGCAGAGTATTGAACCCCCAAGGACATTTAACCTCCCCCCTCCCCCCCCTTCACCATTGCAGGTATGAATAAAGCTGCACCGGTCTTCCGTGTTCCTCAGCGAGCGCCCGTTTCTCGCTGTAAAACCCCAGAAGTGAAGAAACCGGGTCAAAGGGCAGGCACGTGAGACGTTTTGGAGCCACTTGCCGAGCTGCCCTCTGGAAAAGCTTACTAACTTCCACTCCCATCCGCGCGTGGCAGCGCGGCCTTGTCTCCAGGAGCTCACCGGCGCTGGCAGTCATTATCCCTTCTTTTAATCTTTGCCAATCCTAAAGCTGAGGGTAGATATCTCTCCTTATTTTAATTTGCATTTCTTTGTAGTCAGAAGTTGGCTCCGACCCCCCGCAGATTTCGCTGCCCAGGAAGGCAGGTGGTCTGAGCCAGGGCACACCTATCTCACGGGGCCCCTCCAGGGTTACCCGCGCTCCTCTCCCTGCACGTGGGCCTTCCTGGAAGCTGAACTGTCACCCTCACCTGAAATGCTCTCTCCTCTTCTCACTGGAACTCCGGCTGCCTGCAGGTCCCCATCCCAAGGTCACTCTCTCCCTCACTCCGTGCTCTGTCGTGCGCCCCGCTGGGATTGGCCCGGTGCCCAGTCTGTTCCCAGGGCTCTCCGGCCTTGACCGTGCACCCTTCTTTGCGCTCAGCCTCGGTGCCACCTGCAGGCAGAGCGGGACAGGGGCAGGGACCGCGGTGGGTCAGAGCACCGGGACGCGGCTTTCACCAGTGCCCCGGTGACTCCGGCGGCGGTAATGAGCCCACGCCCGCTGGCAATTCCATCCGGGCCATGGAGACTTCATTTCCCTCTCGTGCTCTGCTCCCTGGGACCCCTGCTCCCGGGGCGGCAGGGCGGTGGCTATTAATACAGAGCGGAGGGACTAGGCCCCTGGAGAGTTTCAGGCACGGTCTGATCCTGAGTTCTCTCGGGGGGGCCAAAAATATCCCAAAACTAGAGGAATCTTTCTTAAACTTTTTGGTCTCTTTCTTTCTTTCTTTCTTTCCTTTCTTTCTTCCTTCCTTCCTTCCTTCCTTCCTTCCTTCCTTCCTTCCTTCCTTTCTTTCTTTCTTCTTTTCAAATTCTCCCCCAGTCTGAAATGAACTTACTTTTAAAGGAAACCCTTTTTTTATATATTTTATTTTAATGCATGTACTGTATTATCACTAAGAGACATCCCCTTTTTTCCTCTAAAAATATATTTTTGTGGAAATATTTAAACATAAAAATTAATGGGAATAATATAATAAAGTCCTATACAACCAAAATTCAGGTTCAACAGTTTTCCAGCTGGGGCCACGGTGTTTGTCTGTGCCCCTGCCCCCCTTCTGCACCCCCCCCATTGATTTATTTAAAGCAAACCTGGAAATCCCAGCATTTTGTCCTCAAGTTCTTGAGTAGGAATCTCTGAAAGGTAAGGGTTCTTTTTAAAAACATAATCACAATACCATTGTGCAACCAAAAGTAGAGGAACAATTGTAACATAAAACTGTTAAAGCCCTCTGGGCCTGCTCAGGGCACAGCTGAGGCCCTCTCTGTCTTGCCAGCTCTCTTGCTGGCAGCTCCCAGCAGGTTCTGATCCAAAAGTGTGTGAGATTTTTTTTTAACTCAGCTCCCATTCCCATAGGAAACACTCTTGTAATCTCAGAGTTCTGCACTTCCCTCTCTTCTCCAGAGCTTTGAGTCCCTCTGAACTTGAACCTTGAGCCTCTAGAAGGCAGTTTAGAGTCAATAGTGGTCCTTCCATGTCAGGGTATTGAAAATATTTGCTCAGCCAGCACGGGTTTTGGTGAGGAGAAAATGAGGTCAATACAGATGCAAACAAACCAAATCCAAGGTGCTGTTGAAAGGAACAAACAGCAATGGTGGAAATGTTTTTTGATGTTTTTTTTTTTTATGAAAATGTATTTCTAATTCAACAGGTTTGCGCTATTACCCAGTAATCCTACTCCTGGGTACACATATGAGAGCTCATGTCCACGCAGAGACTCGTTCAGGAATGCCTGGAGAAGATTCACTCCAACTGACAAAAATCCAGAAACACCCCAAATGTCCATCAACAGTAGAATGGATGAATAAATGGTGGTTTCTCCACACAGAGTAATAAGCAGCAGCAAGGAAAAAGAGTAAACTACTGACACACACAACGCGGATGAATGTTGCAGATCTTATGTTAAGCACAGGACAGCCACACAAACGCACAGGAAATATGGGTGCTGCGTGATGCCTGTTGATGGCAGTGATGGATGACGACTGAGCACCTCCTCAAGGAGCCGCAGGGCGCTTGGTGGGGCCTGTGGCAATGCCTGGCACCATATGCTTAAAATTATGCACATTATGCCCTTTGCTGCCTGGATGTTAGGCCTCAATTTTTAAACTTAAAAATTAAAAGTGATTGAGAGGGGAGCGGGGCATTGACTGTCGATGGCAAGGGTGAGGCCATCCAAGGTGGTCATGAAATGAAAGAGGAGGTGATGAAGTTGAGACCCTGGGATCACCTGGGGAGACAGCAGAGTTAGGAGGACAGGAACAGTAGGGGTCAGCTGCCAATCCTGCGCTGGTGCGAGGGAGACAGGGGAGAGCTTCTGAAGCCTGGGCCATAGCAAAGCTATGGGCAGGAGAGGGAGAGGAGGCCTGTGCACCCCACCCCCTCTCTGTCCTCTCTCCTCCTTGTCCTGCTGCCTCCTACCCTCCAGGGCAAGAACTCTGCTCTGTTTCCTCTGCACTTCGAAGTACCCATCACGCTGACGGCCCGTTTTAGGCCCCAGGAAGGTGGGCAGAGGTTTGTCTTCCGGGAGGCATCCCAGTGCAGAAGCAAGGGCGGTGCCAGGAGTGCACACACCTGGCCACCCGCCGGTGTCTGCCCCTGGCTGGTCACATGGGTGCCTCACTCCCCCATCTGGGCCTCAGTTTGCTCACCTAAAACAATGAGGACATTGCGCTAAGGCAGGGGTTGGCAAACTCCAGCTCGCAAGCCACGTGCGGCTCTTTGCGTATGTTCCGTCTCAAAAGTTTGCCGACCCCTGGACGGGCCAATCCTGTCCCTCACAACAACTTGAAAATTATTTGAGAGCCATAAATGTATTTTTACATAATCACCATTACGTGAATAATATCCTTTAAAAATTTTATAAGTGAAACTATGATAGTTTTATTTTCATTTTCAATTTTACTTCAGAGCCACATGTACGTGCCCAAAGAGCTGCATGTGGCTCGCGAGCCGCAGTTCGCTGACCCCTGGCGGCTCTTCCGTCTCAAAAGTTTGCCAACCCCTGGGCTAGGGGATTAAGGAGCAACCTTTTTGCCACCATTTTTTAATTTATTTGGAGAACAGTAATTCTAGTGACTTGGTGATATGAACCCTAGAGCTATAGACAGCCTGCGTTCAAATCCTGACTCTGCCACTTACCAGCCGAATGAAAACTCGGTGCCTCGGTTTCCTTCCCTGTTAAATGGGGAGAGTAAATAACAGAAGCTGCCTTGGAGGGTCTTCAGGAAGATTACATGAGTGGCTGATGGGAAGTGCCCAGAACATTCCCCGGTTCACAGTAGGCATCATAAAAGCATTAGCTATGATTATTATTGTTTCTCCATGGAGCCCATGTTTTAAAAGCATTTGTGAACAGTAAATGTCAATGAAAAAATAACTTATTTCCTCGTTTATTAATCAGAAATGGGCACCACTGCCAACTGGGCTCACCACCAGTGTGAGGTGCGTCCATTCCTCAGACACTCTCCTCCCTCAGGTTAGAGGCTGCCAAGGCCTGAGGGGATGCCAGCCGAGAGCAAACAGGTGGGACAATTTGCTCCATACGCGTTCGTTTCAGATACATGTGGGGTCCCGCGAAGGCTTTTTGAAAAGGTCAGAGTAGTTTAAAAGTCACCATTGGGACCTCCTCAGATCCCAGTCACCTCTGAGGCCCCCACTAGCCCAGCCCACCTGGAGAGTCACTTGGTGATGTCTGAGCTTCTTCGTGTGACCAAAGCAGCATTCTGGGCACAGAGCAGGTGACACCTTAGTGGTGCTCCTTGAAGTTGGTGTCTTGACTGATCCACAGCTGAGATGGGGCCAGCCTGGACACCGGGGCTTATATATGGGGGAGGGGTGATATTCTTGTAGCTCATTTTAGCAAATGCTGAATATGCAAATGACAGCGCTGACAGAAGCTCCTGTGTCAAGACACAAATTCTTCCCCATCAGAGGGAGAAGGAGCCTGGCAGGTAATACTGAGTCAATAATTTTTAAACTCTGGGGGGTGGGAGGGATGGGGGTGCAGGTCACTGACCCTTTGAAAACCTGATGACAACTACAAAGGCTTTTCCCAGAAACACACACACACACACACACACACACACACACACACACACACACACACAAACAGTGGTAAATAATTTGTCTTGGGCCTTTCAAAGCCCATTTATAGACTCCTGACCCATACAAGTAAGAAAAATTATCTGAAATTTGGAAATAAGGCAAAAGGATGTCTACGCGTCTAACAGGCCTGTCCAAAGATTAGCTCATGCTCTAGGGAAACGTGTCTTTGGGCCCCAGACTCTATGAAGTTACATGTTAACTGGTAGATCTTTGTCCGACAGAAATGCTCTGTCGTTAAAAAAAAAAAAGGATTCCCCAAAGTTATTGTTTTATTGCCCTGTAGGACAACCAGCTTGTACCTTTTTAGGAAAAACTCAGATTTTGTCTACCTTCCTGTGTAGAGAAAAACCTGGTTCTTCCCTACCGTGTTTTTTTTTTTCTGAAAGTCTCCTTTATGACACACAAAACACTTCGCTTCTGACACTCCTAGTCATCAGATGTGTGTTGGGGGGTTCCCCACACTAACAAGCCATTCAATTCAGTTCTGACACCATCGCCCCAGAGACTGCATCAGGGTCCAGGGGTTAAGGGCTCAGTCCTACAAGACTACCCCCCCACCCCCGCCCCTTCAGACTCTCCAGAGGCCACTTGGTCCACCATGGGACTCGTTTTTACAAGACTTACAGTTTGCACAGTACCTTTCTACTTGCAAATGCTATTGTCCTCCGATTTCCAATGTGTTCACATATCTTCCTTTTCCTTAAAAAAAAACAACAAAAAACAAATTTAAAAAATAAGAAAAAGAAAAAGAAAAACAAGACAAAACAAAACAAAAAAAACCCATCTCATCGAGCATCTCTTCCTCCAACTGTGGCACTGGTCCCCTAGAAGCTTACAGGTGACCACCAGCGCCTGCCGCCTCCCCCAGGTCCCATCCTGTTGGGACCCTCTGCTGTTCATGGGACATGTTGCCCCATGTCCCCTCCTAGGAACCCTGTCTCCCTGTGATCCCTGAATCACCCCCACCGGGTTCTCTTCCCCTGGGACCTGTTCTCAGGTGCTCAGGGTAGCTCCCTTGCATCTCCCCCGCCCCACCCCTACCCCCAACCTAGATGTGGCTCTGCCCCTTGGCCTGCGCCTACACCAGCCTTGCTTGCTCTCCTGCGAGCTCCCACCCTGCCAGACAGCATCCCCGTTCTCCCAAACCCTTGAGGAGGGGCCCTGGCAGGAGCCTCTCAACTTTTCTCCTCCTGTCTGTTGTTCTTCCCGATGTGCCTACGCTCACCTTCCTGTTTGAACACCTTTGCTGCAT